ATATACTTTGAGAATATTTTCGTGAAATAATTTAAAATAATTATATGTGTGTGTTTATATATATGTATATATATATATCATACGATTAACTTACCAACGCAATTTCCATTATCATCTTTCCTATAACCATCCTCGCATTTACCTATTTCCGGTAATTCGGTTAAACTCTCGTTATAATCATCGTCGTCATCCTCGTCGTCATTTTCGGTGTCATAATCCTGGTCTTGCAATACCTTAGTCATTTTTTTCGGTTTATTGATGCATTTGTAAGAACCAATCGTGTTCTCGCAATTGGTGTCTTCCGGGCAAACCTTGGAAACGTTTTCGCACTCGTTTACGTCTGAAATATTAAAATACGATTTTTATACGTGAACACAAATTATGTATATTATAAGAATGATAATTTGTTTGTTTTTTTTTTTTTTAATTAATATTAATATTCAGTCAAACATTATAACAAAGGATAAATACGTACCTTGACAAGTCTTCAAATCGTTGGTCAAATAAAAACCATCCGGGCAAAGGCAAAATACACTTCCTGGTGTGTTCAAACAAACGTGAGAACAATCACCGTTGTTATTCGCACACTCGTCGATGTCCTCGCAAGTATGGTTGTCCGATGCCAATTTAAATCCAGGAATATCCGTGCAATTGCACTCGTAGCTACCTTCGAGATTGCGACAGGTACCTTGACAAGGGCCGCGTCCGTTGTTCAGTAGACACTCGTTAACATCTGTTTTACGAGATTTGTTTAAAGAAAAAAAAAAACAAAAAAAGAAAGTAAAGTAAGGAAAGTAACGATTTAAAAATATTTCTGATTTATATTTTAAATTTAAAAAAAAAACAAATAATCATGTGTGTGTGTGTTATAAATATATATTACAGTTTAATGTCAATGAGATGATTTATCAATTTCTTTTAATAAAAATAAAATTGCATCAAACTTGCATCCCACATGTATGTTTTTATATATATATTTATATTTAAAAATATTTTTTCTTTTTTTTATGATATCAGAATTGCAACGTATATATATTATAAACTTTCGTTAATAATTCATAAAACTATTTTCGATCAATATTTTACAATACAAATGGTCAGGATCGTGGCAAAAGTTACGTGCACGTATAATATTTTATTATAACTACCGACCATTTTTTATATTACTGATATTATTTTTTTATTTAATAAATACTCCACATTCGTTTATAAAATATCGATCAAATGTATAACGTTTTAACTTCTTTGAAAGAAAATAACGATTAACCTTTTTTTTTTTTTTCTTTCTTTTCATTTCCATTATTCATTCGTTATACTTTTTCGTAGTCTACTTTTTTTTTAATACCTGCCTTTTGGTAAAAATTGAAAAAAAAAAAAACAAAAAAAGAAAAGAAGAAAAAAGGATAAATTTCAAAAACAATACAATCAAAAAATAGAAAAAATAGAAAAAGTATAGAAAGGAAAAATATAAAAAAAAAATTCCCAAACGAAGTGACTGAATTCGCATATTCGCATTCACACGTACGTACGCGTGTACTCGTATTACACGTATACACGTATACGCGTGCATCAAAATGAAATCAATCCATCGGCAGCTGGAAACGAGCGTCCCACAGCACGCAAGCTCTTTATTCGCCAACAGCGAGAAGGTTAACCTCGTTGAAAGCTCGTTCATTCAATGGACGAGTAATGTAGTTGAAAACGACACGATCAACGGTTGTCGACTACGTTAAACGAAAATCCCGGTGCATTTCGTTCGAAACCTTAACCCGCGTACTACGTTGTTCGTTCGATGCAACGAGAACAAAAATTCAGATAATAAAATAAGGTATAATCACTTGTTATAAATTGTATTCATACGAAAGTGTTTCATTTTTCTTTTATTTGGTTTCCAATCTTTTTTCTTTTTTTTTTTTCTCTTACTTTGACACCTCGTTGTGTCAACCAATCATTGAAGATTGTGAAATATTTTTAATATACGGTCATAAATTTTTTTCCTCAAAAAATTCAGCACGAATTTATAATGTTATACGTTAAATTTTGTATACGTTTCAAAAATAAATACATTATTGGATCTTTATATCAGTAACGTTTATTGATCGGTATCTTAAAAATATACTTTTCGTTGATTTCATTCGACTGAAAAGTTATTCTATTTTTATTTTATTACTCGTCTACATTGAATGTTTCATTTATATAATTTTTTTTATTATTTTTAATATTATTTTCCTATCATATTGTCATCTTTACTTTTGATTTTATATATCAAAAACATCTAATTCAAATTGACCGACATTTAGTATGGTGTCCAGTTAATTTATTACTGTTAAGTAAGATAATAAAATTTAGAGAAGAAAATTTTAAGTATGAACGTTAACAAATACACAATAAAAAGATATTATAAGAATTACATGCACGATGTTTATACTTTAATAATCACAAAAGTTGCTTGCACGTGCAAATCATCGCGATTGATCACGAAAAAATGATAGATAATTTATTATTCTGTTTTGTTTCGTTTAAAATGAAAACTTACCTTGACAAGTATGTCCATCAGATGCCAGCTGAAATCCAGAATGACATTCACAGTGGTAAGAGCCAGGATCGTTCAGACATAAATCTGAACACTTGATCAAACCTTCTGAACATTCGTCTACGTCTAAGCAAAACCAAATGAAATTGAATTAAAAGACAAAAAACAAAAAAAAAAAAAACAAAAAATAAAATAAAATTGTTCGGTGTATAACCCAACGTTCGGGATAATTTATTATTTATTTGTAGGTTAATTAATACGGAATCAATTAATGAATGATTACAAAGTGCAAATAAATACGCGTGTACGTAGATATTCACGTTAGGTATCCATCGAAACAAATTATTCCTATGTACATTGGATTCATTGAAATTCTATGAAAAACAAGTTGACGATGATTAATGCGCGACTGGCACGTGCCGATTCAATAAATGTTCCTATAATTACTAACGAATTCGTCTGTGTAAACTGATAATATTCCGATTAACGTTACACGAACGAATCGATTACTATTCTCGGCTTTAACGATCCAATAAAATCATCAAAAGCAAAAAGATTATTTTGAAAAATATTTTATTCGACAAACACACAAAAAAAAGTATATATATATATTCGCAAAAAGATTAGATTTTTCCACAACATTTTCCGGCAAATTTGTACAAAAGTACGATTTTCTCTTTTTTTTCATTTTTTTTTTTTTTTTAATCGAATTTTTGTGCGCGTTTTTACTTCTTTCTGTTTTTTTGTTTTTTATTTAAAATAAATCCCTCGACTCTCTGTGTAAAGTTTAAATATATATATATATATCGCAAATCGCGTGGAGATTAAATTTGGTAGGGGATAAAACAAATTTCAAAAACACGAAGGCTCGAGCGTGTTTTGTTGGTTCGCAAAAAAAAAATTAATTTCTCGCTTTTCTTTTATTTTGTTCTATCTTTTTTTTTTTCTTTTTTTACTTGTTCTCGCGCAATAAAATTCAACAAAAGAGAACGTTAAAAATAATGTTAGACGAACGGAATGCGTTAAACGTTGAAATTTATTTGCAAAACCACCGTAAACGTTTGCTAAAGACCGTTCACGAGTTTTGAGTATAAGAAATAAAGAAAATAAAGCATAAATGTTTCTTGGACATTCAGAGAATGTCGGAGTTTTAAGGGACAGGGATCTTTGCCTGCCCCTTTGCCCTAAGATCACTCGTTTCTCTAACTTTAGAATCTCCCCTTCTGCTACAAGAAAACGTGGGTGAAGAAAATTACGAGCTACGAGCCTGTCAGCTAACATAGCCCAGGATATTAGAAAAGAAAATCAGGTCTATATCTTTAAACCCTAACGTATCTGATACCAACCCACGTGTTGTTTTATTTTTCTATCCTACCCCTCATGTTTTTTCTACCAAAATCAAAAGTAAGACAGTTCGTTGTCATACAATTTATAAATAAAATTTCGTAAATTCGTCTAACCCAGATTATTATTGAAATTTATAAAAAAAATACAATCATTTAATTTTATATATTTTTTTAAAATACAATTAAAATATTTTGATATTAAATTTGATCTACGAATTTTCTTCGATTAATCGATTTAACGAAAAAAGAAAAGAAAAAAGAAAAAATTCCAATTCATTAGCGAAAGAAATTTGTTCAATTATTTAAATCAATTAAAATCAAAGAAATTTTTCCATAGCAAAAAATATAAAAATAAGATATTCGTTAGTAAATTTAAACAAATTGATCCGTGCAACATTTTTCTTTTTTTTCTTTTCGATTAATTAATTTAAAGTAACCATTCGAAATTTATTAACAAAATTCGGTAATACCAATCGGAAGTGTGCGATTAAATTGTAATCGATTGATTGATGGCATTCCTTTGAATTAATTGAAAACTGGTAAAAAAGAAAAAGAAAAAAATTGAATATTACCTATGCAGGAGGTGGTACCATTGATTCGAAAACCATCGAAACAGGAACACTTTGGACCAATCGGTGTATCTTCGCATACGTGTTCGCAACCAGCCCTCTCCTGATTGCAACGTAGCACGTTATCGATTATCGTTTCTAAAACGAAACGATATCTGTGATGTAACAAAAAGTTTAGCCAACACGCATCGGATTCGAATTCGGCACATACGCGTTTTATATCAAACCTATACATACATATAATCAAAACTCAACTCTAACGTAATAAAACGTTACCTAATCTGTCTTTAGTATCGAATTCAAAAAAATCTCTTTCAAATGTTTTACTATTTTTTTTTTTTTTATTTCCATACATTCCTTTATCAGAATTTGGTTTAAAACAAATTTAAATATGCAGTACGATATATAATGTGGATAAAACTTGAATGATATTGTATATACAAAAATAATATTTTTATGAATTACGTTATACGATATCTAATCTATCTTTAGTATCGATTTCAAAAAATCTGTGTTTCATATTTTACTATTTTATTTTTGTCCATATTTTGACATAGTACGATATGATATGGATTAAATTTAAATGATAATAAAATAATATTTATGAATAATAAATAACGTTAGAAATTCTATGCGTTTACCAATTATCGAATCAATAAATTTGTCGATAACGTTGACATGTAATATTACCGAGAAAAAAAAAAAAGGGAAAAAAAAATCAAGGGACTTTGGGAATCGTGTAGAAGCTATCCAAAAAAGAAAAAAAAAAAGGTACTGTTCGTTAAAATCTGTCAAACACAATACACCGTGGCGGTAGAGCGTTACCGTTGGTATGGTTGCGATGAAATAAAATAAAATAAAATAAAATAAAATAAAATAAAATAAAAAATACAAATTTTTATAAAAGACGAAAAAAGAAAAAAAAAAAAACTGAAAAGTAATTAAAAACTATATATACTATATTATTTGATCGGTTCAACGAAAGAAACATCTATTATTTTTTCTAACTATACAAATTAATTATGCTCATCTATATATAACAAGGTATATAATCATTTATCTTTTATATATTCTAATACATCACTCACCTTCTTTTTTCACGCATTTCGGAACACGACCGAGCCAAGTTGATTCGCTACAAAAAAGTCTATCAGCCATCGAATCCTCGAAAACGAATTCCTTCATGCATTCATAAACTGCTACGAAGTATCGATTGAAAGGTGGTAAAGCATTCGTTCTCCTGAAATACAAAAATATACGAATGATTTTTACCAGCAGAAAAGAAAGAAAGAAAAGAAAAGAAAAGAAAAGAAAAGAAAAGAAAATTGAGGATAAAATGTTTCTAAGAAAAAGAAAAGAAATAAGAATTAATCGATGAATTCATTTGTGGGTGGTAACGAACTAATATATATATATACACAAGTTAACCCTATATATTATTTGATGTTATAAAAAAAAAGGAAGAAAAAATTGTCAAATGGAATACAAACGAGTAATACTGTACCGTTCATTAACTAACTTTGAAGTGCGTGTAAAGTCAAACGAAACTAAAAGAAAAGAAAAAAAGAAAAAAAAAAAAAGCAAAAAAGTCGCAGAAAAAAAAAAAATTATTCTCTCTGTTATATCAGTATCTATCTTGCACGCAAAGGACAAGTAGTGTAATCTTTTATCTAAAGAAATATGAAATAAAAGGGTTGACCGAATGAGAGAAAAGAATGAGTGAAGTAAAAGAAAATAAGAAAAGGAAGGAAGAAGAAAAAAAAAAGGTTAAGTTTTTAACCGACCTAGCATATCTCGGAGGCTGAGCATTAACGACCGAGGGTGCTTTGATAAGAACCTTTCTACGAGCCTTCATGAGACAACTTAGATCCAATCTCGACATCAAAGTTTCGTTCAAGCCACCGACATCCGACACCGACGGGTTTACTCCCAATAGAGATTTCTCTGGCACTTGTTTCCTCTTATCCTTCGTTTTCCTACGCCTCTTCAACTCGCCTAACCTCTTACGAGCCTGAACTCGTTGCTTCCTCGTAGGATCACTTCTCAAATTTCTACTTGGCTCATCACCCATGTATAGATCGTTTCGAAAATGTTGCCACTTGTTTCCTGAAACATACAAACACATATGCGTACACGTTAACGCGTAACCAATTAATCCTTTAATTGAAGAGCTTGTCTAATGATTGCAATCATCAGGAAACAGAATGATTTTTGTTGTTGTTAATATGTTTAAATTATTTTCATTAGAGGAATTTTTTACAATTTATTCTAATATTTGGTGAGTTTAATAATTCTTATTGCATAAATGTGCTATATTTTTTGTTATACATTTATCGTAAAATATATGATTTTTTTGAAGATGGGTCATATTTGATTCGTTGTGGTAGAAATAGATATATACATGAAGCTCTCGTTTTATAATATAATAAAATAATCACTAAAAGGTCACATTTTTATTTTGTAGAATATTTTTTCTTTTTAAATATCAAACTATTCTCGTGACAATGCCAATACGTTTTATATCCATTCAAATAAAAATATTATTTTCTTAAAATATAGAAAGATTTTATTAATACATTTTTGAGTAATATTTCTTTTTAAATTTCTAAATGAATAATTTCTGACATTCGCGTAGGCCAGTTGAAATTTGGAATTTTCTTTTTTAACAATTATCATACAACGCGAATACTTTGCATATAGATTCCAAAATATAATAACATACGAAAAAAAAGAAATAATAAATCTTTTAATACTCTACGATTATTGTATCTAGGGGAAGAAAAAAAAAGGAAAAGGAAAACTAGAGTCTCGAATCGACATCAATTAAATTATTCTAGCGAGGAAGATATCGTGCAGCTTGAAAAGCAGTTCCTTCCATCTAACTAAGAACTCCGACTGGCCGAGCAAACGAGATTTTATCACGATTAAACGAGTACGCTATTACGGGTAAGCGAAATAACGTTTAGTATCTCTATCCTTCTGCCATTATAATTAGAAAGAAAAATCATTTAAATTAACCATGTAAAAGAGAACCTTAAATCTACAAACCTACGATCTATAACTCAAACTTCAATTCCATTTCCATTTCATTATTCAAAAAGAATCATTTTAAACTTGTTTCAACTTCTTTTTTTCCTATTTTTTTTTTTTTTTGGATCATAACATCTGAACAAATATATCCACATACATGCGTACATGCATGTATATATAAAAATCCAATACCTTCCATATAAAATACGAATTTGAAATGAAACGTCAATTACATCGAACTTATGTAATTATATTTTATTTTCAATATCAAACAACGAACATTTAAAAAGAAAAACATGCTTGTACGTATAATACCCCATCAAACTTTCTAAATTAAAATAATTATAAGGAAAAAAAGTAGAAGAATGATGGATTATTACAAAGCTAAGTATACGCATATCTAAAATTGCATATTATTGCATAAATATTGCACCCGTATAAGGAATCAAGATCGAAACACGCGATAGAAGTCTTAAAGGGTCAAAGTTGCCACGAGCTGAGCATACTCGTTTACGTTAACTTCTATACTATATATATATGTATACATAAACGTTACGTGTATGTATAGGTGTAATTCGCACACTAAACTTCGCTCCTTAAGATCAAGGTGAGAAGATGATTCACTGCTCGTGTCCTATCTCAAGCACAGTCGACCATGCACTGTTTCCTCTTTGCCAACACGCCGACAAGAACAACAGGGTTGAACACAATAACGTTTTCCTTACTGATAACTCAATACATTCATCTTGTTTAAATAGGATTCAATCAACTAAACGTTTACCTATATTTCAAGATAAATCTTATTTGAATCATTCATTTTTTAATATATATTTTATAGCATCATTTATTTAAATAATAATAATATATTAAACTTGTTGAACTTTTTGTCATCGATTATGTGCTATTTAAAATATTAAATTTATTCTTAATAATAGAAATATAAATATATATACAACGTGATTTATTTAAAAATAATAAAATTAAATGAATTTGAAACATTCGGTCATCTATTATACTATTTAAAAGATTCAATTTATTCTTAATAATAAATACATATTTATTTTCATATTTTAATAAATCATTTATAAATTTTTCCATTCTCATGTGTGTGTTATCAAAGAAATGTAGAAAATAATAATAATAACCAAAGTATTATCTTAACGTGCATATGAAAGAAAACGGGAAAAGAAAAGAAAAGAAAAAAGAAGAAGAAGAAGAAAAAAGGATAAAACTCTTAATTATATTATTTTCGAAGCAAAACAGCAAACTTTTCGTACGAAAAAAGCTCGGTCTTTTAATTATTAACTTTAGTATAATCCGTGTGGGACTGTAAAAAGCAAGAGCAACAACTTCGTACTAGCTACGAAATACGTTACGAATGAAAATGGACTAATTGTAAGTTATACGAAAGCTAGAAAAAGAGTGTTTTGGTCTTTCTCGTAAAAGAAAGTTGTAGAGAGAAATATAAAACATACATGATGTACCAAAATATATACATGCATACGAGTTTGCTGTAACTGTTCGCATAGTAGTCTCTCTACTACCATATACCTCTTTCCCCTTTTTCCAACCTCATCTCTTTCCACCCTACCCCACCACCCCCCGCCCTTATCTCTTTCACTCTTTCACTCTTTCCCTCTATTTCCCTCGAGTGACTACAACACGCTTTTTGCTCGGATTAGCTGAGGAGGACTCTCTTCTTTCGCTACACGCCTCACTTCTTAGCTAATCGTTGGAAAGAGGGATTGATAAGCGTAACGCAAGAATTACCATAAGGATTAACATCAATTTTACTGTATAAGACGTGTGTTTCCTCTCTCTCTCTCTCTCTCTCTCTCTCTCTCTCTCTCTCTCTCTCTCTTTCTTTCTTTCTATCTCTCTGTAAGATTTTTATTTAAAACTTAGAAACGTGCGTACCATACTTTTTTTTATTTTATTTATTTTTTTTTCTTTTAAATCATCCCAATAGATTACTATTACTCGTTATTTTGCATGTGTTGTGTTCATTGATTGAATTTTTGTTTACATCATTAAGATGCACTGATATATCGTTGACAATTCAATTGTTTATTATATTTTAAGAAATATGTTTTAATGGGATTTGAATTAAGCATGTTTTTTTTACATTCTCACAAATTTGATTAACCGTACTCGTTTACTCTATCATAATATAATATTATTCTTTTAATTATCATACTTTCTCGTTATATTTTTTACTTTTATTCTATTTTTGAAAAAAAGAAACCAAATTTATTTCGCTGATTAATTATTTCTATTATAAAACATTCATTTTTTAATTATAATAAATATACAATAATTACATTATTAATTATCATCCATGTTCACATCGTCATTTAATCCTACTCTGTTCTACAAGAAAAAAATTATTTTGCTAATAAATAATCAGTGTAAAACACTCATCACACAAATTTTCAAATAATTAAGAAATCTCTTAATGGATTGATAATAATCATCACATACTACACTACCAACATATACCAAGATATATAAATATTAATTACATTATTAATTATTATCCATGTTCACATCGTCATTTCATCCTACTCTGTTCTACAAGAAAAAAATTATTTTGCTAACAAATAATCAGTGTAAAACACCCATCACACAAATTTTCAAATAATTAAGAAATCTCTTAATGGATTGATATTAATCATCATGCTACTACGCTCTCAACGTACTAAGATATTAATCGTGCATATACACACACTTATATATATATATACAATATATATAGGTATGTATTATAGATATTAACATCTAGCAAAGAGGTAACTTAATCCTTACGGGAATTTGCTGCTTTACGCTTATCAATATCCCACTTTCATAACGTCCTACTCCTCTATAGAAGATTTCAGTAAAAGGGCTGAAGATGATACTCGAAGGGAAAAGGAATATAGAAATACACATACTCTTCCTTCTACTACTACTCACAATCCTTGAGGAAAAATCCCATTAGGATCATTCCTCAAGGATGCAGTTATAATCTGTCCCCTTGGACCGTTCGTTCAACATAACGTGTTTCCTATCTGTCTCTTTCTCTCTTACACATATCCAACTATATATCCCCCTTATTTTACTCTCTATCATTCCTTTTCTCTTTATCTTTATACTTCTTTTTCTTTTTCTACGTGAAGTTGGGTTCAGAGGGCCAACGTACCTGGTTACACGCATCCTCGGTTACGTATACACGGTGCCTTGTTAGAATTGCCTTTTGCGAACGCTTCCTTTCTTTCTCTCTCTCTCTCTCTCTCTCTCTCTCATTCTCATTTTTTTTTCTTCTTTCTTTTTCTTTCTCAACCTCTATTCTATTTCTTTCTCTTAACGGAAGTAGCACACAGAAACGTTCCACCGAAGAAATTGCATGCTTTCGAGCGGAACACTGGCGTTACCCAGAAGCAGATCGCTTTTCTTTATAGTTCACCCTCTTCACGGGATCATGCTCTCCCTCCCACCCTCAACCCTCACTCTCTTCTCACCCTCCTACTCGATTTTCTATCCCACGATCAAGATCGATTTTCTTACGCCTTTTTCTCTTTACTTTTGATTTTGATTTTGATTTTGATTTCTCCGTCTCGGATTTATTCGCGAAAGATATAAATCTATATTGAAATCATTTTTCCGATATTTATGCGATCGTTCTTTTGTTAAAAGGAAATATCAAAATATGTTTTTTTTTTCTTTTACATCATATACTTTAAAACAATTTGCGTTTGAAAACGAATTATTTCATTTTTATTTTATCGGTTTATTTTTTTTTCTTATAATAATTTACGAATAAATTCAATTGTCAAATTGATTCGAGGTAAAACGTAAAAATAAATACTCTTCTTTCTAACCTGCCCTACCACCCCCCCCCAACCCCCTTGTAACTTTTCGTCATCGTTTCTCAAGGAAAATATAAATATATAAAAATACTTTTCCTTCGAGAGAGATTTATATGCAAGAATAGAAAATCCCATTGGGTTTTAGTATATATATATACACATATGATATAAATGTATGTATAGGTGTTCCATATATACGCATTATGAGCGTGTACAGTATATTTGGTTTAT